GGGGGAGGGGGAGAGGAGCAAGAGGAAGGGGAGGGAGGGAGAGAGAAGGAGAGAAATAAAGATGACCCCCAGCTCTGGCTAGGGAGGTTTGATGGAGATGACACGTTCCCTGAAACTAGAGAATCAGCTCAAGATGAAGAATGGGGCAGACGAGTCAGGAGGGAAGGGAATATCCATGGATGCACCTGTTATTGCTAACACTGGTAAAAGTCACCCTTCCTTTCGCTGCTTTATTACTCCTATTTATCTGTATCTTAAACTCATTTCCCTCTGATCATATTTTTGAAGTTATAGAAAAGATATATAAGCTTCTAAAACATAAGCGGATTGTGTCAAAATGCATCCAAGCCAAAAAAAGACTTTGACAGTTATTTGGTGAAGTGATTCTTAAAAAATTTTAGCAGAAGCACCTTTCTTTCCAATGTGCAAGTTCAAGGTGTACAGCAGGTGTAGGGAGCAGCTTTGCCTGGGGGCAGGAGGAGGGTCCCAAAGGTCGCCGCCCATCTCCCCTGCCCGCCCCCCTCTCTCCAGCCCTGCCCAGCCTCAAGAAGGCAGCCCAACACTTTCCTTCCAGGGATAAGGAAACTGAACTCAAAGGCAGAAGCCAGGAGAAAAGCTGGAAAGGCCAAACTATGACAGAGATAGGGCCAGAAACACAGACTCCCCTTCGAAAAGCTATGTTCAGATGTGGGTGGGGTCTCCCCTGCCATCTTTTCCATGAGCCGAATGGGTAGAATGTCTGTGAAGTGTCCGCCTAGTGAAAAAGCGATCGATAAGTGAATAATATAGGCAGGCAGCAGGCTGCTCGGCCTTTCGAAATGGAGCAGTAAATCTAACTCTGCAAACTCAAGGTTCATGGTGCCCATGCAATCCTGGGTCCCTCTCCATGGCTCGGGGAGCATAACTGGGGAACGAGAACAAAAATAGAGGGTCCAAATGAGGAAACCAAGAAATGACGGCTTTCACATTTTTGCTGTAAACGGTGCGATATGAAAGACGTTCAGTTTGTAAAACTGAAACCCAGCCTTTGAACAAGTATTTCTCATACACTTTCTGCTGCAGCACGCTGTTCATCCCGGCATGGCCTAGAAGGTCAAGCAGACACGGCCTCCAAGGTGCATCATGAGGTGGGAAGGCAGTCAATACATAAACAAACAACTTAACTTTTTATGGGGCAGATACAAGTTCATGGAGCCCTGACCACATTTCAGCAAAATCACCCATTCTTCTTGCCTATGGTCTTGTTGCAGTCAGTCCCAGGACGCTTGAGCACCACGTGGACTGCCCCACGGCTGGGACAAGTGAAGGCCATGGACAGGAACAGAGGTGAGTACCCTCTGTCTGACCACCTCAACTACAGCCATTTCTATTTTCCCTTCTTTGCTTTCATTGTCCTCAAACGGGCCCTCTTGAGGCTGATTTAGTGGCACAAATAGTATATGCATAAGGGAATGCATGATTCACATGTCGATTAACCATACCCTTGTTAGATATCTGTGACAGGCCCTACCGACCCCCACAAACCTGTCCAAAAATATCTGGAGTGGCTTTTTAGGGTGCACTTCCGGGAGTACTCATTGGATCAATGGTTCATACGAGCTTCTGACTCAGCCTCACAGTGTTGTAAGACGAATATTGTTCTCTCTGGAACCTGAGGTTTGATTTCTGAGGCCCACTGAGAGAGAAGAACTGGAGGCTTATGGAGAAGTGGAAATAGAGGCAGGAGGACAGATTTGGGAGTAACGGTATGAAAATGTTCACACACACTTCTTGTATGTAGCAAAAACTAAGGAATCCAGACCTCTAGCCGGCTAGAGGTCTCAACTGATGATGAGGAAGGGCAGTTGAAATTTGTTTACCAGCCCTCCTTGGTCTATGGAGCCTTTTCAAACCATCACCCTTGGCAGGACACGCCACCTCTGTCTCTGCATTCCCACATGTGAGCCCTGCACCTGCTTCTGTCACAGATCTCCAGACACTCCTTGCTGGGGCAGGTTGCCTCTTCCAGCCAGAAAGCCTTCAAGGTCAGGAAATGGGCTCTTGTACCTGTCAAGACCACTACTGTGGGTGGGGAGGGGGGAGGGGGGAGGGGGCGCAGGGGGCACACCCTAAGTACTTCCAGAATGTTTGCAGTGAATGTCTCATTGTCTTCTTTAGGATTTCAATTGAAGTAGTTTTGCTTTATTGTGAATACCCGGATATAACAGTCTCATTCCCTTCAATTCAGGCTCTCTGTCCAAATATTCCACACTCACATGATCATATGATTCTGACGTCTGAACTCCTCACTCTCACATTCCACAGGGTCCCAGATCCCCGAGAGAACATGCTGTAGGTCTTTACGCACGCCTGAGTTCCGAGTTCTTCCTGCAAGACACATCCTGCAAGCGAGTGTTGCAAATTCCTCTTGTGGGGCTAACACTTTGACTCCTACACAGCTGACCTGTGTCTCCCTCTTCTCTTCCTTACCCCCACTCCCCAGTCTTTTCTTTCACTGCTTATCTCCCATGGCAAGGAGCAGCAGGGGGATGGGGGTGTGGTGGAGCTTTCCGGACCTGACAAGAGGATCCCATCTTTATTTAAAATTTCAATATTCTATCCATCGTGACTTTTTTTTGCATTAACTTTTTAACTTTCTGAAAAATGGCATTGAAATATGACCTCTCTTGATTATGGATGCTACCCTTAAATTTTATGTCAGCAGGGAGTGCCTCAAGCTCCTCACGCAGGACCCAGGCCTGAGCCTGGGAGAGCCAGTATGCTTAGTTTGGTCTCCAAGGGCAGGGTGCAAGCCCAGAAGAGTCTAGCAGAAGGCACCCCGTGGCCTCAGTGCCTATGTGAAGAGTTGCCCTCGTGGTTTTGTTTCTGTCGTCATTAAGACTGTGACAACGGTCATTCTATTCTGCAGTCTCTCCTGTGGCAACCAGGCGTTAACGTAGGAAGTACTTTGGGTCTTTCTCTAGCACTAAGACCCATCGTATCAATTATTCATTAAGAGTCTTTCCCCAGGCACGGTCCTTCCACAGGAGACCGAGCCCCAGCATCCTTCTCTCAGCTGGAAACATCAGAGTTGTCCTGCTGGCTCCTGCCTCTCCCAGGTTAGAAGTGGGAGGCCAGGGCAGAGGTTGGTTTCTCCACCAAGGCAGGTCTCTCCTGCCTTGAAACGTCCTCGAGAAATTCTACCAGTAGCATCACACTTGTTCTGCATTCTTACTAGGGATTTATTCTCTTCTTTAAAAGCCTGGTTCATTGCCATAGAATTTGGGCTGGAAGGAAAGGTAAATATATCCTTAGGCTTCACCCTAAACTTGAGCCCCTTGGGGGTTTTCTAAAGTTTTCCCATCATCTATTTAGTTACTGCTGCTAGCATGCTTTCTGTCTCGTCTTGGATTTCAGCCTTTATCTATTTGGTCATGAAGTTCACATTTTGTTGAGATTTACCGAGCTTCTCAGGTGTTTGCTAAAACTTCTTAGTATTTCTCATAGTAAAATGTTGGCCCTGATATGCCCTTCCTTTGCTCTTGAACGTCACCAGCTCTTCCTCTGTGGCTCTATGCATTTCATTGGCCTTCTTTTTTTCCCATCTTGATGGAGAAGAAATGTATCCAGACATTTGGTCGATGGGATAGGGGAAGTCCTCTGATATTTACAGATAGCCCCAGTTGGCAGCGCAGTTAGGATTCTGCTTTTCCTTGTGTACTTTTATGAGTAATTTGTTAGGAATCTATAAGAATGACTGTCTTATTACCATCTTAGAGGTAAACATGGAATGATCAAGGGCTCAGAGCTGGAAGTGTCGTTCCCACTGCTTTTATCTGGAAAGCCAGACCAGGCTCAGGCCATTAAAATACTTTCTCCATGACCACAGAGCTGGAATTCAGAGTTTCTGTCTTTAATCAGTATTAGCTGTATTCATTTTGGTTTAAATTATTCTCAATTTTTTCCATGAATTCTTAGTGTGAATTAGGAATGGGGATGAACTTATTATATTCACCTTAAAAACCCCAGTCTTATAGCTGGAAGCAAGGTTTTTGTCAGTCGTATTTACAATCTTCTTAGAAATAAACTCTAATGGGAATCATATAATCTTAAAGAGACAATTGAACATTTAGTGAAGAAAAATGGCCCATTAGGCTACAATATATGCCTAAGGGGGAACCAGCTACCATACAAGGGGCCCAGACATAAAGAATAGAATAAGAATTAAAACCCCAAGTCTCTTTTTAAAGAGTGTGTCTTTCACAGCAGAAGATTAATTTAGAACATTCGGGAGTCTATTCATCTGTGTTGACTGTTTCCTTGGTCATTCCATGTTTACCTCTAAGAAGGTAAAAAGACAGTCACTCTTACATTAAAAAAATTAAAACATTTGAAGCATTCAGAAAAAAAATTCTTGTGCTGTATTTTTATTCTAACTTAGTGAGGTTATCAATTTGAAAAATGAAGAAGACATTTCATAGTTAATCTTTTATGTGTATTTCAAAAACATTTAATCCTAAATACATCGGTTTATTACAAAAATTGAAGACAAGTTAGTGCATTTGAGGACCTCAGCTCATGCATAACTAAAAGATATAGCTATGAAAGCTTTGTGATTCACTCTTCTAAGAATACTTAGCCTAACTTTTATTTTTAGGAATTCTCAATTTAAAGCTATTATTGAACAATCTCTTGAAATTCTTCTTTCCAAGTAAACCCCCTTTATTGGACATCAAATAATAAATGCTTTTTCATTCTCTTTCTCTCTCATTTTCTATTTTTTTAAGTAGGCTCCATGCCTATGTGTGACAAACACTTGTCTTTGAAAAAAGAGAATGAGAGGGGCACCTGGGTGGCTTAGTTGGTTAAGTATCAGACTCTTGATCTCAGCTCAAGTCTTAATCTCAGGGTAGTGAGTTCGAGACCTGTGTTGGGTTCCACACTGGGTATGGAGCCTACTTTAAAAAAAAGAGAGAGAATGAGAAAGCATTTATTATTTTTTTCTGAATGTTTCAGAGTAATTACTCAATAACAATTTCACAAGAAGTCTGCTGTTTTAGAAATCTGAAAATGACTAATCCATTTGTGGTTCACAAAACAATAACTGCATAATCACTGAAGGAAAACACTTTCAGAATTATCAACAGAAGGAGTATTATAGTAATTTTTAATTTGTTTAAAATAATATAGTTTTCCTTGAAAATTAAACCCAAGAAATTAATACTACCCTAATTGGGCAGTGCATGCTAGAGTCACATACTTAGCAAGAAAGATTTGTGAGCCAGAATGAACTATTAATCAAACTATTTATCTTACTTTAACAATGCTCAGTATTATACATATTTTACATAATATTTATGTAACTTTAACTGTGCACAATGTACACTTACTTTCATTTCACTGATAAAATCCATTAAAATGTTTTTAATTTTCTTTGACTTTTGGAATTTTTGTTTATATAGCATAACTTATGTATATACTATTTTATCTTCTCTTTTTGACATTCATTACAAGAATAATATATATAAAAGTCTACAACAGAGAGTTTAGGTAGTCCACTTGTTCATGACTGAATTTGGTTGATACACACCATACTATCTACTAAGGGTTATGTCACCACCAATATTTCAAAATAGGTTCAAAAGTCAAATACAATTACATATAAATTTTGTGCATTTGAGTTAGGCTAAGACACAGGTGAAACTAAACAGCAAAGCAATCTTTAGTCTATAAAAGAAATTAACTTTTATACCCCGATATTAGAAAACCTCTACATAATTACCATAAAGTTAAGATAAATGTTTTAAAAGGCATATTTTTGGCTATAGTTCAAATCAATTTTCTGTGCTTCACTCTTACAAATTTACTACCAGTAAAACAATTCTTGCTCTTGTCTTAGCAATGACTGGTTAACAGAGTTAGCAATTATGTTATCACACTTATCCATTCAAGGAAAGAGCAGACTGAACAGCAAGACGATGCCACACAGGTCCTTGAGATGGAAGGGTGAGAAAGAAATGAGCTTCTGGAACATAGCCGTTAAAGATGCTAATGCTCTCCTATTTTGGGTGGGACAAATACTAGTCAAGCTTATAGGAAATGGATCGATTTTCCTCCATGTCCTCACCTAAAGAATGTCGTGCTAACTAAATGTGAAGTTTGTATGAACTGATTATTGGAAGACCACTGGAAAATACTGCTGACTTAGAGTCTAAGATGAGCGTGGTTGTGTCTTATTTGTCTTCTACAGTGGCCGTGACATCTCTTTGCTGTCTATTGCCTTGATTACTTAGTCCAAAAGAGTAAGGAATGCTACAGGTAATGAACCTCTAATGAATTAAATATCTGCCTTCTGAAAGTGTATAAAATTCAATAACTTAAGATTTAAAAATTTACTTCAGGGCGCCTGGGTGGCTCAGTTGGTTAAGCGTCTGCCTTCGGCTCAGGTCCTGGGATTGAGTCCCACATCAGGCTCTCTAATCAGTGGGGAGTCTGCTTCTCCCTTTACCCCTCCCCCCTGCTTGTGATCTCTCTCTCTCTCTCTCTCTCTCAAGTAAATAAATAAAATCTTTAAAAAAAAAATAAAAATTTACTTCAAATTAAAACTAAATGGTAAACGCTTACAAAGCACGTTTTCAATTCAGAACTGTTTAATAAAACGCCTCTGGCTTGTGAGCAAGCAAGGGTTGCAAAGCTTGTTCACAGGGCATGGCTTCATTTTAATCTCTAAGAACCTGGCAAGGCGGGTGGTGTGAGCCTCGGTAGAAAAGCAGAAGAGCTTATGAATGTAGTCACAAAGCTGGTGACAATGAACCCGAGGCTTCAGCTCCGTTCCCATGGTTAGAATCTTCTCCTCTCCCCCCACGTTGAGGAGCAGGTATAAGACCTTGGCCCTTCCAGAACCACAGTGCTCCCGAGGGCAACAGGACCCATATCACTGACAGATGGCATGCTGTGGGGTAGCACCCACCAGTGCTCTAATCTTTATGTTCAGCTATTCTTCATTCTCACATTTATTTGCCATCATTAAACACAAGGAAGGAAAAATTAGACTCAACGTTATTTATTATTACCATGAGCATTATTGTTACTATTATGCCAGTGTACTTTAGAAGAAAAATAATTTGGGTTCAGAGGTGAATTGTGGGAATTTATAGTGTAGTTGTGGGATTAAACAGATGAAGGAACCAATAGCATTAAACAGTAAGAACTTGGTAGCTTTGTTATCCATAACCAAGTGACATAGAAACATCCAGAAACTTAGGGTCACACAATACATGTTAACCGGGTCACAGTCAGACACTCGTGGCTGGTGGACTCTGGAACCAGATCGATCTGGGTTTGGTCCCAGACTCCATCATGTACTCTTTATTACCCATCTTTAAAATGGGTATAATAATAGGACCTATCTGGCAGGGTGGCTATAAGGTCTGAACGTTTCAGATATGGAAGAACTTAGCACAGTGCCTGGCAGGTAGCAAGCACTCAGGAAAGGTCAGCTACTTTCAAACTTTCTAGGAACAGAAAAGAAGGGTTATACCTACTATAGCTTAAATTCCCGAAGTTTTGCAGGACAGAATGATGATCCTCATCATGTGCCAGGAGTTTCCATCTGTTATCTGATTGGAACCTTGCATCACATTGTGTGGGCTCATCACCTCAAAGCAGAGACCTGAGACTCAGGAGTGGACACTCCACTGCACCACCTTGACCCACATCGATCAGCTGTGGAAAAGGCAAGACAGGATAAGAAGCCAGGGCCTGTAGCCATGGCCAGCACCATGAGACTCCAAGAAAGGGGAGAGCAATACGAGCCAATGTGGTCAAGAAAGGGGTCCAGGCCCTAAGCTGGTTGGGAAAAAATGAAAGGATTTGTCTAGATGAAGCGAAAGGAGAGCACTCTTCAAAGTTCAGTTCCAAGCCCTCACCCTTGGGCAGAGTGCCTTGTGTTCCCTTGGAAGCCAAGTCCTTCTGTGTCAGTTGAGCTGACAACTGGCCTCTGCTCTGAGCTCACTGCAGCCGTGAGAAAGGCCTCGGTCGGCATGAGAAGGGGAGCTCAATCTGGACAGAGAATTACCACCTCTCTCCGCGGGGCCATACATAGCTGCTTCCTCCTCGGGCTGGGGGAGGCCAGGCCCATTTCTGAGCCCGGACACTTGCAGCCAGGCTGTGACACAGCATTTAGGGGAAGCCTGTGGGGCGGCCTGGCCCCTCAGCTCCAACAGCCTTGCTGGGAAGGGCGGACACCGGCAGTGGAGAGTGCGGGAACAGGTGGTCTTCTGGAGTGTCTGCTGTCTGAGTGATGGTGTTGGGCCAGAGAAGTGACTGGATCCTTCCTTCAAAGGAATAACCAATGCGTGATGGAAAATCGCTGGCCAGCATCCCAAGAAGAACATGAATATTCATAAAATATCAGAACTAGAAGGGGATTCAGTGAGTATCGTACTCATTTTCCTTATTTTCTTCCTGAGGAAACAGGGGCTCAAGGGGACAAGAGTGACATGCCCAAGGTAATGTAGCAAATAGTGAGTCTCTCAAGGCTAGAACTTTGGGTTTTTTTGGTTCTTAAGCCAGCTCATAGCTAGCTCAGATTTAGCGTGTATCAAAATAATCTGGAGAGCTTATTCAAAACACAGGTGTTTCAGGTCTTGCCCAAAATATTTCAATTTAGTGTAGCTGGGGTGGGGTTCCAGAGTCTTTGTTCATTTTGAGAACGACAACCCAAGTTCACACTGCCAAACTCAGACTTTGGAAAAAACTTTTCTCTCCTACATGAAATAGTGCCTTTCTGGGTGTTATACACAAACAATGAATCATGGAACACTACATCAAAAACTAATGTTGTAGTGTATGGTGATTCACATAACAATAAAAAATTAAAAAAAAAAAAAGAAAAGAAAATAGTGCCTTTCGAAGTCCCAAGAAAATATTGTAAAGGATAGCAAGGAAGGATTAGGTAAATATTTTAACAAAATGATAAAGAAGAGGAAAATGGTTCTCTCGAGTGTACTGACTCGTCCCAGAGCCCCCTGCAGCCACTGCATGTGTGTCAGAGCTGAAATAATGTACATGGACCAAGTTCCAACTGCTGCCCTCTCCTTTTAGGGTGATCAGAAAACACACTGACATGGATCGAAAACTGGAGAACTTGCAGTAACCGATGTCCATGGTTACACAATTCTTCCCAATAGCAGCCCCCAGAAGGGCCTCCAACACTTTGGGCCTCACACTAAAACATAAAACAGTGGTATATGGTAAGAGGATGTACGAAGAAAACCTTTGGAAATGACCCCTTTTTCTTTTGCAAATGACAAAAGGAAACATTCCTTTGAGGTCCTCGGTAATTCAGAAGCCACTTGGGTGGTATGTGCGCTTTAAAAAAGAATGAGACATCTGGCGCGGATTTCTCTTGATTACTATGTTCTATCTAAATTTCTTGCTTTCCATTCTGTTTCTAATGCTCTCCACAAGGAGCAGGGTCACGAGGAATAATTGGAAGCATGGGTTTCGGGATGAGATGGGGGTGTGTTCTCATGCTGGACCGCCATATTGGTGATCTTGGGAGATTCCATCTCTCTGGGTTTGCATTTCTCCACGTGTATTTCCAGTGGTGCCTACTGACATGTGGATATGATGATTCCAGGTAAGGTGTTCAATATGTGGTTCCTCAGGCCCAAACCCTTAGCACACTGTTGACTCTCACACCTTATATCCATCAGCAATTCCTGCAGCTCTACCTGTGTTTTGCTGTTTACCTTCTCCGCTGCCCCACCCTCGCCAAAGACCATCTTTCCTCCTCTGGGCTGTTGTAATGGTTTCCTAATTGGTCTTCCTTCTTCTGCCCTTGCCTTGCTCCTTCTGACTTCTCTCAGAACAGCCAGAGCACAGCACTCCTTTGCTCAAACCCTCCTCTGGCCTCAGTAAAACCAATCTTACCTACAGTACCTGCAGAACCCCACATATTTGCTCCATCCCCGCCCAAAGATGACTGTCCTCATCTCCCATTGCCCCCTCTCTTGCCTGCTCCTTTCAGCCACTTGGGCCTCCTCACTATTCCTCAAACTTACCAAACTCATTTCTACCTCAGGCCATTTGTACTTCCTGTTCCTTCTGCCTAGATCACTTTCCCTTCAGATATCAGCATAGTTCACTCTCTCACCTTTTAAGTGAGATATTCTCTGCAACCCTATTTAAAATTGCATCCCCACCCAACACTCTCTACTCTCTTTCCTCGCATTTTCCTTTTTAAGTTAGTGGTTATCACCACCTTTCACACGATAAATTTTGTGTGTTTGTCTTTTTGGCCACCCATTTCCTATCACATCATGGTTAATCTGGCACACAAATATTTGTTGAAGGAATAAATAACCCATAATTATTTTCATTTCAACAAGTTTAGATATGTCAGCAACAGACAAGTGTGGAATCCTTTAAGTGAGAAGGATTTTGGAGAAGTGAGTATTATCTGTAAGTTGTTTTATGGTGTGTCTGGAGTCTCACTACTTTCTGACTCTTTCCTTATTGATTAGCAGGACCCTATGGCCACAATTGTTAACAAGTAATTTAGTGATGATCTTTCTTATTTTTTTTTTAATATGTTGCTATTCGTTAGTTCTTTTGTATTATTCAGGACAGACCAGGTTACACTGAAATAACAAAGGAACCGTGAAATTTCAGTGACATCACACCATAGGCTTATTTCTCACTCATGTCCAACTTGGTGCAGGGGGTGTTCTGCTCCACATGGGCTCCCAGGGATTGAGGCTGGCAGAAACTCCACCATCTGGGACATCTCTGACTCAAGGAGATTAAGAAAGAGACTGCAGGCTCATGCTGGGGCTTTCTGCCTCAGCCCAGAAATGACACAAGCCTCTTGTGCTCCCATTTAATTGGTCAGATCTAGACATGTGGCTCCATCTAACTGCAAGGATGCTATGAAGTGTGGTCTCCTGTATGCACAGAGCAGAAAGGAGAATGAGGACTGCTGAACCCCAGTATTGCCCAGCACTGTTTTAATTAAGTAGAAAAGTTTAGGTGCTGTATCTAGGACTGACATGCAGTAATATTTTCATCTATTTGCTACCACCAAAGCAAAATACCATAGGAAGAGAATCTTATAAAAAATTAGCAAAAAATAACAATTATCATAGTTACATGAAACGCCAACATCCTTACTCAGTTTAAACTTGTATTTTCCACATATCCCTCTGTGGGCATTATTGAACAAACTTGTAACCTTTTAAGTTGTTTTTCTTCTTCATCATCTACTTAGCTGTACTAAAAGTTCTTCTGCTTCTGTAAATACCAACTACAAAGAATGGCCCCCACTGTGTAGGAAATGGGCCAGGGCGGGAGGGCCTGTGTTCCAGGCTCTATGCAAGGAACACTCACATGCTGCGTCCAACTTAACTCTCACTGTGACTCTGGGAAGGTGACGTTAGTTACCTCTGTGACTTACTCAGTGGCCACTGAATGATGAGACAGCCATGCTGGAACCAAAAGTCAAGTGTCTTGAACTCCAAGAGGACAAAATGCTAAGATAGAAGACTTATTTTCATAAACTAGGCAAATCTCAACTACACCAGGCAATGGCAGCTTCAACACCAGAAGGTTCGAAATGGAAGAGGTCTGGAAAGAACCATTTTGGTAGAAATTCCTTTTTTAAATGGATGATAAATTGAGCTCAGTGAGTGCCAGAGAGGGCCTGGATATTTTTATATACAGTGGGGCTGTTTCTTAAAAACGAACAAAAAGAAACTCTTGCTCTGTAACTGGTCAGGTCTGCAAATTATCTCAAACCTACTAATCATTGCCCCTGAGGCAATATGATTCTACAGAACAGAGAAATGGGTAAAAGGGGGCAGAGGATGCGTAACTGTCTCTTTTCATTCATTGAGCCAAATTATGTTGAGCTCTTGGCTCAGAGCCCACTTCCTCCATCTCATTCACTCCAGTATTTCAGAGAGATGGTACATGCACAGTGGAAAGGAGGAAGAGAGTCTCTAACTGCAAAACTCTGACCTTCTGGTTTCATTCTTAGATTCACCAAAAAGTCAGGGTTTTTGTTTTGTTTTGTTTTGTTTTCATTCCTATGTACCCAAGATATTCCCCTCAAATCCCCAGAACTCCTATCCACCTGCTTGATGTCAGTTAAACCAGAAAGTTTGGCCTTTTCTACCCTGTGGAGGGTATATCCTAAGGTTCTCTTTTTGAGGGTATCTCCTCCCTGAATCTAGGTGCGTGGGAATTCAGCTTTGCCCTATCACCCCCTGCTCCACAGCCTTACCTGGCCACCTGAGCCATACCACAGAGCTCTGGTGGATACTGACTCCCTGATGCAAAAGTGAGCTCTGGGCGTGTGGTGGGGAGGAGGTTTAACGTCATTTTACACCGACCAGAAGAATCTGAGAGTAGTTGCCAAGGTCTGCTGTTATCCTCTCTCCCTAACATGGGGTCTCGTGTTGGGAGGAACTGTTGGGAGGGAGGGAGGGAAATTATGTTCACAGAAGCCCCAAGGTCAGTTGATATGCACAGCTCTGTCGCACGGTGCTCTGTGTTGCGAGGTGGTATGGGAAGCAGGCTGAGGGCTTTGTGAGCAGACTTGGACATGGAGTTTTAAATAGTGCCTTCACTTAAACTCAGGAATGTGGGAATGCTGGGGGCTGCAACACAACCTAAAACTCTGAGTAGGCTGGATCGTTAATGTGTGTGTCTCTAGGATAGAAGATGGAGATGTTGTTGCTATTCATTAGTTCTTATGTGAAGATGGAGAACCTTACGTGTGGGATTCCTGAAGATAATTTACTTCTGTTTTGATAGATGCTGAAACTTGGAACATCTATCCTTCCTCTTCTTTAGGGCCAAGTCCTAGCCCAAACCACCTAATAGAGCATATACAGTTCATATGACTCTTGACCAAAGGAGCAGATGGGGTGGTCCTGACATTGACAACTCAATTTCCTATCAGGATTATCTTTGCCTGGAACACCGAACTGTGGAGGAAGTTTTGAGATGCATGCAGGTGCTGCTGCCTGTGTGTGCCTCCACGGGCAAAGAGAGGCAGGAGGTCAGCACCTGGCTATCCCCTTGCCAGGTACCAGTAAGGGACATGGGAAGCAGGAAGGTGGCTCTGGCTTAAAGCCCCACTTTTGCAGGACAGGAGCCTGGGGAGGCCAAGAGCCCTTTGAGGAGGCCTGTGGGCCTCCAACAAGGAGGCCACAAATGTGTTTGTTTGTTTCCCACCCCTAGAAGCCGGCAGCTTGGGAAACTGCCTGGGTGTGGAGGACAGGTTGTGAGCCGGGGCCCAGCATCACTCCGGACCTATCCATTGTGTTTCTGTTTCTGCCGTGTTGTTCTGTGTGTGATGTTTTTGTTTTGTTAGAGTGTGTGTTTGGTTGTTTCTTGAGACTATACGAGCACTGGCGGCATCAGGATGTCCTGTGAGCAGGCCCGTGAATCTGTGCAGCAACACCGCACATCACGTCCTAGAAACCAGCCATCCTTAGATGGACCTCTGAAAAACCCCAAACCACAAACCCTTGTGATGAGTTCATTTTAGACTTAGAGAGGAAATGCAAAAATAGGTCAAAGAGTGTTTACAACTCCTCACTCCCTTCCCCTGGTGTTCAGACCTCACCTAACCATGGTAGCATTATGAAGAACAGAATTTAGCAGTGGCACAAGATATTAACCAAACCGCCAGCTCACTGGAAATTCAGCCATTTGCACTGATGTCCCCCTTCAGCCCCTTGCATGCAGTTGTGGTTGCCTCCCAAATCCCCTCCACATTCCTCTCATAGGTCAGAGATAACTTGTTTCTCAGAAATTAACTCTTGGAAAAGAGAAATTCTCTCCCAATTCACCAGGAAAGAGTTCTTTGTTCCATTTAAATTATCTTTTGCTTGTTGATAAGCACTCATGTCTCACTGGACAGAGGCTAGTAACAGAGACTTCTCTGCTTCACACTTCCTGGGCACAAAATAACCTTTGGGTTCAATGCCAACTCCCATTGCTGCATGATTTCATGGCTCCTCTTGACCCTGAAAGGCAGGTTGCCTAGTGATTTCTTGTGCAAAATGACAATTTTCTTCTCATTCTTGAGTGGGAGCATATTTACTCGAGCTGTTTGCTCTTCTCTCTTAACATTTTCTCTTCCAGCTTACTGAAAAGTCAATCCTCAGTGCTTTTCCTGCTCCTTTGAAAGCCCCCCCTTTTTTTTCTCAGGGAGCTTCTGAGACTTTGCCTTTAGCCGTTAGCAGGTTTCTCTTATGGTCCTGGCTATGGTTTCCTTTTTTATTAGCACATCTTTTTTTTTTTTTTTTTGTGAGGCACAACAGGAACTAACATGGGCTAAGTGCATTTTATTATCCAAAATTCCATTGCATGGGGACAGCTCTCTTTTCCAAGACTTGCCTAAAACTCAGATGTCCTGGAAATGAAAACAACTTGCTGTGGATTTCACACTAATGTGAAAATGACCACTATCCCGTCCTCCTTAGAGGAGAGATTTTAATGGGGAAGAATAAAGACATGGTCAGAGGGCTCACTAGTTAGTCGAGCTGCTTGATAGGGTGGAAGGGCTGACCCAGCAGGCTGGGCATCAAAGGCAGTGGAAGGATCTGGCAACTCAGATGTCTGACTTCGGGAGACTGGGGGCTCTCACATCCAGCCATGCTGCCCACACACTCTGGTTCCTTGCTCTCCCCAGGGGCAGGTTGTGACTTGGCTTCCACAGCGGTGGGCTGAGTGTCACCTGGGATTCATCCCACCTGCATCTTTGCTTTGAACTCCTCTTCCCTACATGGCTGCAATGGCAGGAGGGGTGGTTGAAATCATAAAGCGGACTTTCTGTTGGTAGGCAGGGCATACTGATGGTAAAGCTAAAAACAAATTGTTGAGTGCAGACAGGCCTGGCAGCAGGAGAGAGAATGCTTTGTCTGTCATTCATAAGAGCCAAAGAGGGGAGCAGGCAGAGGGTGAGGGAAGACTGTGGGATGGGCAGCTGCGTGTTTCATGGGTGGTGGAGATCTGACCCTCAGGCCACACGGAGGACCCCTTGCACTCACAGAGGTGGCTCCCTAAGGGTGCTGGTGGGTATAGTCTGGGAAGGCCACCTGTAGGACTCCTAAAACATGGACAGCAAAAAGAAGAAAATAAAAATGAAAAACATTTGATTTGAAAGAATTTAATGTTTATTATCAAAGCACACTGATAAAGTTGTCCTGGGGAAAAAAAAACCCAGAATTTTGCTGCATTTCCAGGCCAGAGCCCCTACAGATTCACCTGACAGTGTTGTCTCTGAGGACACTGGAGTCTTCTGTATGCCCTGGCAGGGACAACCGTGGCTGGGTCTCATGACCACAGGAGTGGGGTAAACCATTACTAGGGCCACTTGGAACAGGAGTCAAGGAAAGCAATTGAGGCCTTTGGCGATGGTAGAGAGCAGATCCGGGTTGGAGCATAGACTGAGCATTGTATATATCCATTGCAAAATCTCCGTTTGGGTGGTCCTGTTATAGTGTAGTGGATGATACTACCAGATCCAAGGGTTGTAATGAGGACTGAGTGGAATCATAAATATGACACGCTCAACCAAGCCTCAGGCACACAGGGATTGTTTAGTGCATTTTGGCTCATGCCATCGGTATCAAGCCAGAGGCATACGAAACAATCAACACCATGTGTGCAAGCATGTATGGGCAAATGTGTGCGTGTGTGCACGTGTGTGTGCATATGTGTGCCTGTGTGTATGTTGCATGAGTGTGTGCATATGTGTGTGAAAGGTGGCCAAGATGAGAACAGAATTAAGCAATGCCTTTGAACCATGAATCAACGGTTCTATTGTTTCTCCACACTCTGTGTCAAACTGGGCTGTCGCAATTCCCTCAATTGTACATCCACCTAATTTTCTATATTTTTCACGGTCTAACAAAAGTTGTGTAATTGATCATCTCTGTAGTTTTGAAATGATAATATCGTGTCCTTTCAGGCTGGAAATCAGACATACTCTCCACTGTAGCTGTAGCCCGAGACTGGAGAAACCCTTTCTATTAAGTTCACGCTCTTGAGATCGCCTGAGAGATGGTGACACTCATGAGGAAGCAAAGGGGAGACCACTGAAGTGGGACGAAGACAGGTAGGATTTGGTATTTCTGCGCAGAAATCCATTAACATGGCTTTTCGTGCTGTGGCCTTGCCAGGATGCGGTTTGACAGAGAGCTCTCTGGCCCGGCTATGAGGCTGCCCCTCAGATGCCCTGGAGCAAGTGGTGGGGCCTGATGCAGCCAGTGCCGAGCGGGTACAGGTGGCCCCTCAGCAGCGAGTCTCAGAGACACCCCCTTCCGTGGGAGCAGGGTGGGGAAGTGTGCTTCGCGCCCACTCACACCAGGAGAGGCTACAGCTCCTGATTGCTGGGGAGGAAAGCAATGGAACTTACCCGAGTCCTCAATACATCTTCTTACAGGGTTCCTTTATGTCTAAAATCTCCAGAATGCACATTTCATTCCTCCTCACAATGCTTTCATCTAAATATTTCTTTGAGGCTAGGAATAAGAGTTCTTTAGAAACACAGCGGTGTGTGTATGTGACATTCTGTTCCTAGCATTCGGTGTGGAAAATCTCCATTCCGGCTCTGTGTATTGTTTGGTTGTTTTTAAATACCATATTTCAAATTACATTATGAAAGAGCAATAGAGAACAGGCAGAGATGGATAAACCATATAGTAAATACCCTTGTTACCTGTAACACTTTCAGGCAATGAGCCATAGGTCCGTGTTCTCTAAAGGATCATGCTTCCCTGGGTTTGTTCTCTGTGCTATAGGATCTTGCTCTGAAGGGTCCTCAGGATTTACCCAGTTCAGTTCAAGGTAGAACAGTCCGGGAGGAGGCTAAGAGTATAGCACACACGGTTGAGCTCATGGACTCTGAGCTTGGGTCCAAATCCTGCTCCTGACCCCTCCAGCCCTCAGTCTCATTAGCCACGAAAAAAACAAGATAAGGACAACAATAGTCCTTGCCTCCCAGGGCTTTACAGGGATTAAATGAGCTCAAATTTGTGAGCTCTATGTAGTGTTTGTTATGACTCAGGACTGCCTGAGCACAGGGCAAGAATTTGTTGGAAATGACTTTAACTCATCTTCCACAAGGAGAAATACAAATCTCTTTATTTCTTCATCTACTTACATACAATGAACATAAAGGCTACACAGTGAGTTCACGTATGCAGGTCCACAACCTTGTCGTTGAAAGACTATTGATGACCCTTATCAATCATGGCCAAGAGAATAATTTCTTATCCATCTTCTCTTCCAGCCCCAGAGGACTTTCTCTTGTGTGCCTGTATCTCAGCAGTCCATTCTTGCTCCATTCAAAATGCTAAGATAGCTGCTTCCTGCTCCAGCATCCCTACTATTAGCCATAGCAAGCTAGTGGCCAGGCATGAACTTGCAAAAAGCACATTAAGAACTGAATGTTTGGTAATGAATTTTCACAAAAGGAATGATTTTCCTCCAATTATCACTGTGTCTTGTTTACCACTGTATTTCCACCTAAGCACAAATAAACAGAATAAAGCAAATGTATACATGAATAGAAAATGGTCGTCCTCTGACTGCTGGTTGTGGGAACACCCACATGCTGCTGCAGTCATGTCACTTTCTAACCAGAGAGTTCTGTGGCCATTCTCTTGATTTAATACATGTTCTACTGTAATCAGTATACTCTATATACTATATGCCACTTGAAGTTCTAGCAATCTGGGGACCTCTCCCCTAACCCCGAACTAAACAGCATAAGACCCTTCCTTTGTAATATCATGAAATATGCTCCCCCTCTCAGTAAATGTGCCTAAGAGAATTTTTACTTTGCCCATTCACTTCAATAGTAACCCTGTATCAATGGCAATGGCTACGTGGAAATGTTTGCTTTTTTTTTTTTTTTTAACAAAGCTCATATATTGCTTTTATAATTTAAGAAGAAATGCATCAGTGGAAAAAGTGGAGGGAGATGTGATTGTGATTTTGGAGCCATGTCACTGTTGTTATTAACTCATCTTAGCGTCCACTAGCAAATGAACAACAGAGTCCATGTCTGTCTTTAGTGTCAGTGACATGGGTCTCAATTCTTAATGCCACAGCACAATGTCAATTGATTTTCAAGGTGGCAACCTGGTTATCTAATTACGTTCAAACTCTTCCAAGTCAACACTCTTCAGAAAAAGATCTAAACTCTTTAAAACTTTTGATATTAGTGTGATTTATGCCTTATGTTTGATTTTTTTATAGACAGAAAATATAGTGTCTATTAAATAAACTCTATTGTAAGTCCACTGGGCTCAGTAGTTAAGATTTAACTATGTAGACAATATTTTTGAAATGCTATTGCATGCAAGTATTATCTTACATTTTATCCTATTTTTATAAGAGATATTCAGCCAAACATACCCACATGTACCCTCTTAGCCATATACATAAGTACTTCATCAAAATGTTATGATTGTGATTTTTAATAGTACCATATTTTACCCAACTTTAGAGGAGGCAATTTCTTACATGACCAGTGAATTATTATAACACCATTTAAATACAGAAAATGTTATTCTCATATATGTTAAAATTCCTTAGTGTAGTGGGTGAACTTGAGGGCTCTGACATTGAAACACCCGACATTGAAACATCATGGTTATCAATTAGGATCAAGTTCAGCTACCTATAATAGAAAAGCTCAAAAGGATAAAGGCATAAACAAGATAGGAATTTATTTTTCTTTCAGAGAGAAACCTAAAGGAAGATATTCCAGGGCTCTACAATTATTTACTACCCAGGCCCCTTGCTAACCTCCACATTACACTCTCTAGAGCCTGACCTGCATCTTAAGGGTATAAGATGGCTGTGGGAGCTCTGGCTACACTATCCATATTCCAGGCTATGCAATGGAGAAATCAGCAAAATGGCAAACACCTCCTTTTTTAAAAGACTCCTGGAAGTCCCACACAATACCTCCTCCTACACATCATTTTCTAAATGTTGGTCATAGGGCTGCATCTAGCCATGAGGAAGGCTGAGAAATGCATAATTTTAGGAGGGAACAATATAATCTAATATCTTGGGCTGAAAAAATACCCCATCTACTAGTGAGATTATATGGTAGGATTTAAGGAAGATGTTGATTACTGAGACTCAGCCATTCAAGTACGGATTTATTTAGAGGAGATGTTCCTCCAGGCCACACAGAAGTCCTGGGATCAGCGTGTATTTGTCGATGAACTTATCCGATCTCATCTAAAAGACACGGAACTGTACACTTTAAAAGGGCGGGTTTTTATGGCATGAGAGTAATAACTCATTACAGCCATTAGTAAAATGAAAAGAAGGAAGAGTGGGAGAGAGGGAGGGGGAGAGAGGGAGGGAAGAGGGAAAAGAGGAAGGGAGGGAGGAAGGAAAGAAAGAAGGAGGGAGGAAGTTACTGAAGTGTAGCTGAGCCTGTTGAACAGCCTGAGCCGAGCTCTGTTCTCTCTGCTGAAGGGAGATGAAAAGTGTTCAAGTTACTTTAGAGACAGCCCAGCATGTCCTAACAGACAAGGGACTTGAAAAAGCCGTACCCTGGGGGGGGGGGGGGGGCGTGTTTCCATCATTAAAGGAGCACAAGGGGCTCCAGGGATTCTGGGAATGTTCTGTGTCTGAGTTTGGGGTCAGTTTCATGAGGTCCTTACATGCTAAAACCCCTCAGGGGGTACATGTGTGATTTGTTTGCTTTTCTTTGTTAGACCTCAATAAAATTTGCTTTAAAAAACCAGAGGTCACGCTGTTACCTTTGACTTTCAAAGGACGGAGCTTTCTAACAAGTTAAGTCCAAGTGCAGTGTGGAGAAGCTCAAGAGAGTTACGAGTGCAGCAGTTATACCTGGAAGAGCCACGGCTTCAAGGGAAGAGAGAACAAGAGGCCGAGGGGCCGGTGAGCCTCAGGAGGCAGGCCAGGGCCTTGGCTCAGCATCTGAGGGCGGACCCCTCTGACAGGCAAGCTTGGTTTTGCACATGCTCAGAATACAAGGCCGGAAGCAAGCTTTTCCCAGTCTCCTTGCAAGGTTACGAGGGCCGAGAAGGCAGGGCCCCCCCACACACCTTGTCCTTCGCTGTGTCTGCAGTTCCCGCCACTGGCTGCACACAATACACACTCTTTTAAGTGAATACATGAATTTTTGTTCACTGATCCCCACGTTCACAGCACAGGTACTTTCCCATCCTCGCTGGAGACGAGAGTGTCTTGTTCGTGACAGTGAATGTGTCACGAACATTCACGCCTCGGTGCCTGGCAAGACAGGGGCCCCAGCAGGATCCAGGGCCACTTGGTCTCCCATGTGGAAAAGTGAGTGCATGTGGCCAGACAGATGTTCCTTATGCAACACGGCCACACGAAGGAAAGTGGCTAACCATACAGAAGACACTAGGCACAGAGGACATCAAATGTTGCGAAAGTAGCCCCTTTTAGGGGCTTTGCCAAATTAGTCACAGACCACCTGTTGCGGGCCTGCAGCATGAGGACCAGCTCTCCGGAACAAAGGCCTTTATCCCTCTCTCCTTTGGTGTCTGAGCTCCCACACACAAGGAGTTCATGGTTGGGGGACTGGGCTCCTCCTGGCTGGCTTTACCTGGAACATTACCTTGCATGGTGAACTCCCCGGAGACAGATGGCACAGTGTGCCCTGGTCAAGTTCACATTTAGGAATTGTTAATCCAAGGTCATAGACACCACATAAGTGGGCCTTCCCTATGAATTTGAAGATCTTAAGAAACTACAGCTTTGAGACTTGAACTTCCTTTCATGACTTCCATCTCAAACATAGACTAGTCTGCATTTCTTCTCTGAAGCTATTTGCATTCCCAACCAAAACACAAGGTTCCTGAAAACTCTTTTCAATTAACTTTCCAAAGGGTGAGGCTAGTGGTCTGAGCAGTGCAGAGGATGGGCAGGACAGAGTTTTGGCCCTGACTCTCAGCTGGTTCATGTGTGACCTGGGCCAAGTCTCTTTCCTTCCCCGTTAGCAAAGATCCACAGTCTAAATGATGAGGAAGCCCAGACCCCCCACCGTCCCTTTCAGTTACAACTGTAAATGGTCCAGAACTGCCCTACAACCTGCTAGAATCCAAGTTACCAGACTCTAAATCTGGAGAGCTTAAAGATATGAGCTGTGCTCAAGTATGCATAATAAAACCTCGTTATGTTATTCTCCAGGGGCAAGAGCAACAATGATTTGGTAGAAGTTATTCAGGAAAAGATCTGGCCAACTAGAAAAATCTTTCTCTAAAAACAGATATGAAATTGGCCAGCTTGTCCTAGGAGGTAGGGCATGACTCATGAAGGCAAGCCTATGAGGAGTCATCAGCACTTGCCAGAGATGCAGCACTGGGTTTTCGAGAAAAGAGTGAGTCTGGATTAAGACCCACCTGGGTCTGACTCTTGACTCTAAGACTGACATAAGCATGTGACCTTGGACAAATTATTCAACCTCTCTGAGACTCAGGTTTCTAGGATATAAAGTAGAAATGATGATGATAGTTGTCCAGGGGTCCTTGGAAGGTGAAGGACGGAATGCTTTAGTGCAGTAGAGGACACGTGGTAGGGGGCAGGGGATACGCCTTCAGCTCCAAGGGCAAGTCTCATCAGTAAAGTTTGTTTGTTTGCCTGTTTTAAGAAAGGGAGGCTTAAATATGTTTTTAAAGAGAGGGGCAGGATTTTAGTCCAAAGGGAGCTGGTCTGAGGAGAACGTACCCCTTGGCGGAATCATGGGAGGGAAGGGCAGAGGTGGAGGAAGGAGGTTCTGTGCAGGGCAGTCCATCAGCACCAGCTCCTCCTTTCACCCATGCTTTTCTGCTAACAACCTCTTCCCCGCCCACTGCCACCCCCTGCATGTCTTCCTGCTCCTGCACCTCCAGTAGAGATGAGAACTGCCTGACTGACCAAGCATTGGGTCTTCTGAGTATCTTTTGTGTTTTTATTAAGCAAAAGCCATATTATTTTCCGATGAAATGTCATTTTTGTGTCACACAATATGCTCAGCTCAGTGTCACCAAGGTGAATAAAACCATGAGCCAGCAGAGCCTCAGATCAACTCCTGCAAGCAAGGTCAGTGGTCCCTATCCTGACCACCCTCAAAGATTTTACTTTGCCCCCATGAGGCCCAGAGTTGAGTTGGGAAAATGAGGTGGGAATGCATTAAAAAATCAACAAATGTGTAAGGCAATGCACGGCAAGTGCAAAATGAGTGGAGACTCACAGGGCCACAGAAACTCCTCAAAATGAAAGGAGACCTTCATGGACTGGGGAGGATGGAGAATAATCCAGAACGGTCTCACTAAGGTCCCAAAGCATGAGGAGGTGTAAAGAGGTGGGCGGGGAACTCAGAAGAAGGAGACAATTGAAGGTGAGATGGTGAACACATAAATGGACAATACTTCTAGTACACAAAATTAGCGGCCATATCCAAACTCTTGGCCCATTTCGAAGCTCTGAAAGATCCCCCCAGGTCCTCTCAGCCATATGTAACCATCTATTGGGCTTCCTGACTCACCTTAATGAGCGCAGGGTGCTGCTCACCGTGGCCACATAGCTCCCACCCACGATGGCCTGGAGAACCACAAGAACCTACAACACTTACCGTATTTCCAGTGTTTTATCTCAGCCATGGACATTTTCCTGCTTCAAAGACATCCGCTAGGTTTTGGAATCATAAGATCTGAGAAGGGGTTCAGGAGTAAGATCTTGATTCCAGTCAAATATCTACCACATAGCCGTGTGCAAACTGGGTGGGCCACCCCCAGCTCTGAGCTTCCCTCTCCTCACCTGTGAAACAGGTGAAACCACCCTGGGCCAGCCACCTCCCACTCAGGGTTATGGGGAACGTGAGACAACATGGCACCAGAAATGAATGCTATTGTGCACTAGCTCACAGATTCTCAAACACTCCTAAACCCTTGAGTACCGCGAAGCATCTCAGGGGTAAAGGAGCCAAACAGGGTGAACCCCAGCTACAGCCTACAATTCCAGCAGCCTTGTTTTGGGTTGCTATATACATAAAGGTTTTACATTTATGCTTGCACTTTAAGGAAGAATACTATCCATTAGGGGGAAATCTTTTCTAAGTTATTAGTAAAGTTTAATCTTTAATCTCCTCATTTTATAGGAAGGAAAACTGAAGCCCAGAGAGGTTGCTCAGTCTTCCCAGGGACACACAGTGGCAGAGGTAAGATCAGAGACCTTGTCTAATGCTCTTGCTTCTGTGCTTTGTCCACTACTTTGTTATTGGTGCACCAGATGCTGGAGTGTTCTATGAACAAACAAGAGAAAACAACAACTCCAAAGTCCCTGCCCCATGGTGTAGGTATACCCCTACAAAGGAACAGCAGTGTGGTTTATAAACCACAACTCACCCCCAAGACAATGGAGCGACTCCAGAAAGTTGGAGGCGGAGCTGCTGAGCTCACGTGGTGGGCATGTGGACGAGGCTCTGCCACGTGGCTAGGACACACTCTCCAGCATGTCTTGCTTCCAGCTCTTTGGCATGTATAGCCGCTGCCTAGCAAACAAACAGCACCAGTAACACCATCCTTACTTCATCACCTGCATACTTCAGGCCATTCGAGCAGATGTACTCATCAAAACAAAAGTGGCATTAATTTTCACCAACATTCTCCCTTTCCACCCCCCACCCCCCACCCCCCATTCCCCAAAGGACTCAAATTCCTCCTTCCGGCAAACTCAGTTCTATTGGGTTCAAGACTAAAGTTCAAACTCCAGATTACCATTTGGTAATACATTTGGAAAATCATCTCATTCACAAACAATTGAGGTTTTATGAGATAGTGTGTGTTGTTAAAAACATCCCAGTATTTTTAAGGAGGAAATTCCAGAAATTCTATTTTTTCTTCATTCTTATCTGATATTTCTTGTTTTCTACAGGATGTGAAGGTTTTCTCCTTGGAATATTTAAGAGGAAATATGCATACGAAATATGTCAAGCCATGACATCAATGTGTACCAAGGTCTGAGAAATGGTCCCTGATCTCAAGTGGCTTCCAAGCTTAATGGAAAGGTATGATACCATAGATAGTTGCATATTTCTATATACATGCATATACAGGACTTGTGTGTTTGTGTGTGTCTGTGCATGTTTATATGTGTATATGTGCATGTGTATGTACATGTATGTGCTGTGTGTCTCTGTATATGTGTATAGGTGTATTCATGTATGTGCATGTCCCATCAGTTCTGCTTGCTGTAGAGGATCTAAGGCCATCACTGTCCAGAACAGGAAGAATTAGTGTGGTCCTGAGAGGCAGCGGTGCCTGCACAAGGACCTGGAGGTAGATTGGGAAATACAGATGAGAGTGTTCTAAGCCAAGAAAATAAGTGAACCTAGACACAAAGACAGGACCAGGGGCCTACAGGGTCCAAGGGGGATTTTGTATGTGAATGAATCTTCTAGAACTGATTCCAGGATCGGAACCAGAACTGGAGCTTTGTCTAATGACATCCATAAGCAGAAGATCAGAAATTAAAAGGATTAAATCAGCACAAAGCCTACTGGTATTATGGGCAAGTCTTCATTCACTGCCTGGGGGAGGTACACATGATTTATACCCAGGGTTGGAGGTACAGGGTCCGATCCCAGCCTCCAAAGTTGCATCGAAAGAGCCTCACCTGGCTATGTGAAGGGGGACATGCCCGTACCTGGGGCTCACCAGCCACAGAAGCACAGACTTCCCTCATTTTGTCTTCAGTAAAAGAAACCCAGGAGCAGAAGGGAGCAAGATGGCGGAGGAGTAGGAGACCTGGATTTCGTCTGGTCTCAGGAATTCAGCTGAATAGGGATCAAACCATTCTGAATACCTACGAACTCAACAGGAGATTGAAGAGAAGAATAGCAGCAACTCTCTGAACAGAAAAGCGACCACTTTCTGGAAGGTAGGACGTGCGGAGAAGTGAATCCGAGGCGATATTCGGGAGGATAGATGGCGGGGGAGGGGCCTCCGTCGGCCGCTTCTGGCAAGTGCTAGAACCGCGGAGCACAAAATCGGACCTTTTAGAAGCCAGCTCCGCTGAGGGATGTCGCTCCAGTGGCTAAGCTGGTGGTGGACCCTCGCGGGACAGTGTGGTCTCAGGACCCTCGGGGTCACAGAAAGACCAGGGGTGCCTGAGTGCGGCAGAGCTCCCAGGTATCGGAGCGGGGAAGCTGGCTGCAGAGACGGAGCCGAGGCGCGGGCTCTCAGCTCGGGGTTGCCATAAACTGTGATCCGCAGCACAGTCAGGCCACTGCTCCTCCAGCAGGGACCCAACAAGCGGCAGATCCAGGGACACTCCCCTTCCTCCTCCGGGAGGAGCAGCGCGGGAACGCACCGCAGGGATCTGCTGGGTTTGGAGACTCCACACTGAGTCGGGTGCCGGAGATAGAAACGCTCGGTCACAGGCCGGGTGAGCACGGAGTGTGGCCGGAGACCGGGGAGACGGGAGTGACTGCTTTTCTCCAGGGGCACACTAAGGAGCGGGGCCTCGAGTTCTCAGCTCCCCCAGGAGGAGATTGGGAGGTCACCATTTTCACTCTCGATCTCCAAAGTTATACCGAGAGCTTGCAGGGAACAAAAGCTCCTGAGAGCAAACCTGAGCAGATTGCTTAGCCCTGAACCGGCAAGGGCGGGGCAATTCCGCCTCCAGCAAAGACATTTGGGAACCACGGCAACAGGCCCCACCTCCAGAAGTTCAGCATGAACAGCCAGCCAAGACCAAGTTTACCGATCAAGGAGAACGGGAGAACTCCAGCGCTAGGGGAATACTGCACATAGAATTCATGGCTTTTTTACCATGATACATTAGTTTTTCAAAGTTAATTTAAAAAAAAATTTTTTTTAATTTTTCTTTTTCCCTTTTTCAACCAACATCTTATCAATCCCTTTTAAAAAATTTTTTTTTTATTTTTCATTTTCAGAGTCATATTCTATCCCCTCATAATAGTTACCCTTATTTTTGGCATATGTATATAAGTTGTTCTCTCTTTAAAATTTTGAGATACCGTTTCTTCTAACAGATCAAAATATACCCTAAATCACTAGTGTATGGCTTTCTTCTAGTCTTCTGCCTGATCACATTCTCTCCCTTTTTTCTTTTTAAATCTTCTTCTTTCTTTTTTCAAACAACTTCTTATCTTATCAATTCCTGTTATAAAATCCTTTATAATTTTCACCTTTACAATCATATTCCATTCCTTCATTGTACCAACCCTTATTTTGTACATATATGTCTTTCTTTAAAATTTTAGGAGGTGCTTTCTTCTAACAGACCAAAATACACCCAAAATCTAGTGTGTGGCACTGACGTATGCACTAGCCTGATCATATTTGATCATATTCTGTTTTTTTTTGTTTTGTTCTGTTTTTGTTCTTATATTTTTCTTTTTCATTTTTTTCTCTTTCTTTTTTCTTTCTTTTTCTTTCTTCTCCCCTGGTTTCAGTCTTTTCTGATTTGTTTAGAGTATATTTGCTGGGGACATTGCTAACCTGTTAGCATTTTGTTCTCTCATTCATCTATTCTCCTCTGGACAAAATGACAAGATGAAAAAAATCACCTCAACAAAAAGAACAAGAGGTAGTACCGTCTGCCAGGGACCTACTCAATATGGACATTAGTGCGATGTCGGACCTAGAGTTCAGAATCATGATTTTAAAGATACTAGCTGGGCTTGAAAAGAGCATGGAGGTTATTAGAGAAATGCTTCCTGGAGAAATAAAAGAACTAAAATCTAACCAAGTCAAAATCAAAAAGGCTATTAATGAGGTGCAATCAAAAATGGGGGCACTAATTGCTAGGATAAATGAGGCAGAAGAGAGAATCAGCAATATAGAAGACCAAATGATGGAAAATAAAGAAGCTGAGAAAAAGAGAGATAAACAACTACAGGATCACGAGGGCAGAATTCGAGAGATAAGCGATAGGACAAGACAAAACAACATTAGAATAATTGGGATCCCAGAAGAAGAAGAAAGAGAGGGTAGGAAGGTATATTGAGCAAATTATAGCAGAGAACTTCCCTAATGTGGGGAAGGAAACAGGCATCAAAATCCAGGAGGCACAAAGAAAACCTCTCAAAATCAATAAAAATAGGTCAACACTTCGACATCTAATACTAAAACTTAGAAGTCTCAGAGACAAAGAGAAAATTTTGAAAGCAGCTCGGGAGAAGAGATATGTAACCTATAATGGTAGAA